GAAGTGAACATCTGGAGGGATGTTGCATAACTGCACACATCTTTAACTCTTCAAAGACTCAGTAGTTGAGGAAATAACAGAAAAGGACAACAGGAAGACATCGCATTTGAGCATTACATCATACACTTGGCTATGCACTGTTCAGAAGTGTGGGTGTGCGCTGCCCTGGCTTCCACAACAAGCAGTGGGAGACCAGTGACGACTCAGAGTCATCTCATTGGGCAACAGAGCGTCCATGAATTTTAATGCCTCCTCCATAAGAACCTTCACCTCAACTCATATCCCCAGTGAGTGCTTTCAACCAGCAGCCAGTGAGAGGTGTTTTAGATTCCTTCGCTGGCACATTATCACTGTTATATGCTTTACATTACTGAAGCAGCATAAAAGAACCAAACGACATTTGGTTGTTACATAATACCCACTTGTCAGCAGTGTGTATGTGCATAAACTAGGTTTTACAGATAAAAGGGCTTTTATTAAAGTAACTGTGACAGAATCTAACACCCACCTCATTTATCTCACTACTACAGCCTCCTCCTTCCTTCTCTCCACCTAAACATTTGTTATCCTCCTACTCTTTAACATCCACAAACAGGAGCACAAAGCCTAGCCTGCTCCCGATTCTCGATCTCTAACCTTATATACTCCATCCTCCTCCTACACATTTCCACTACACAGGCACAATGAACACACACACATTTGCAAGACTCTCAACATTTACTGAGGTAAACAGACGGCAGAGCTCACCCTTTTCCTGGTCCACCCCCTCCTGCCCGTCCCAGTCACTCCTGGCATTCTGTGGCAGCAGGTCCTTAGCCTCTGCGTGGACGTAACCACACACTTTTGGAGAAGCAATGCGGCTCAGATTCTTGATGTCTTCTGAGCGATAAACCAGCAACCTGCCATCAATTGGGGAATCTGTAAACCTCCACAGGGGCTGGATGAGCAGACAAAGAGAGGTGGCGTTAGAGAACAAAACAGAGGAACCAGAGAGTCTCACAAGGAAGTAAAGAGAGATTGGAAATAGAAAGATATCGGCGAGGAATGCTGACAAGAGAAAAGCCAGATAGGAAGGACTGTGGCCATCTCTAACATACAGTATAACATACAACATTACAACATACAATAGTCCTGAAGTATTTGGACAGTAACATGTTTTGACTCTGTATTACAGCACTTAGGTTTTAAATAAAAAAAAAAAAAACAGCGTGCTGACTTTTAGCTGTAAGGCTCCTTGAGGGTGTTCACATCCATATTAGATGAACAAAGTAGGAAGAGTGGCCCCTTTTTACATAATGGCCCCTAGACTAAAGCACACAAAGAACAGACTTTGCCATCCAGAATGGAAAAGTAATCCAAAGAATTTCCTCCATTAATCTCCTGTGTTTCCCCAAGACATCTTTACCATCTTCATTCAGTCATTGATTGGCTGTATTCATAATTCTAATCATATATTTATAATCATTCACTGCTGCATTCTTTGTTATTCATGGCTGTACTGTGCTCATTCATGGGTTGTTTAGCAGTTATTAATTATGTGTGTAATTAGTTAATAGCATGTCTTATTAGTTAAATAAATCTTTTATATATTATTTGGTTTGTATAAAATTTACATCAGTGCACACGAGTCAAGAACTCTGTGGCAACCTTTGGATTGGCTTTGGTAAATACTGATAGGGTCGTCACAGTCTTCAGTGTCCTTTCTACTGTCAAATGTAGTAGATTAAATGGCTTCAGGGTCAAGTGTTTTACAAAAAAATCCCCCACCTATTTGGATTCTACAGAAAACAATGATTTTATAGGCACTTCTTACCTCTACGTTGTACTCCGCTTCATCGGTTAGAATATGAGCTGAAAACTCATCTCCCTCTATATGTGCCTGCACACGTGAATTCTCCTCTCCTGCAAACACAAAACAAGTAAGGTTAAAAGATTGATATTAGCAAAATAGATCCAGTAATCTATTAAGTAAAAAGTTGCACAGATACTTTAACATACCATTGTGTCAGCCACTATCTGAACTATGCAAAATCGGCCACAATCAAAGATCATAGTTATCCGTCATATTTTGCAAAGAATTTCAACTAATTTATCAGATTATGGTTTTAAAAATCAAGTATTATATTACATAGTAACATATTGGTGCTGCCCTGATGCTATATGTCGTTCACTCACCAACAACATGTCCAGTGAAATAGTTCTGAAGTGAAACATCGAAGTTCTTCTCCCTCCCATGTTTATCAAGAAACACAGCTTTGAAGTTGTCGGTGAAAAGCTTTGTGTTGGTGGTCAAGTAAAGCTTGAAATTTCTGATGTCGAAAAAGAGAAAAGAGGAACATGATGTGGCTGCTTTCAAAACTGTAAGGAGTCACATGAAATTCAGTGCCACAACAAAGAAAAAAGTACTGAAAATACTTAATTTGTTGACATGTTTTAGTCTAATTAAGTTTTTCTCCACACAATACTTTACTGGAGTTATTGGTCACCATAAATATAACTGTTTCTCTTTTCCATACTGGCAGCGAAATTATCCCTTCTTATTCTGACTTCAATTTAAGTGATGGGTTAAAAATCCACAGTCCTTGTTCTGTGCAAAACTATATCCAAAAGATCAGCCGAGGCTCAAATGATTCTTCAGCAATTCAAGACATATTTTTGACAAACTGAAAGTACCTTCCAAAGTAACTTGTTTTAATAAAAAATTCCCTCTTTTCCTTTGACAGTGTTTCCTTGCTGAAACGGTCAGAGAGAAAAGCAAAGAGGGAACTTCCTACTAAAAAGACTGTAATTATGAAAGATTCCCACTTCCTCAGACTACGAGTAACTCACTACGAGTGCTGAAGCATCATCACTTTAATATATAACATAATTGTCTGACATTTCTCAGATCCTGTCACTAACAACAACTGCATTTCACTATTCAGCTGAGCATAAAATTAGCTGTGTGGGCACCACCTGTGTGGTTCTGAGGGTTTTAACTCTTCTACCTATTTATAAAGTAACCACAACGAAGACCAAGTAAAGTTATCTAGGTTTCCATTTGGCTGCAGGGTTTGTGAACAGGCATCTGAACCCACTAACATCTTGTAATGAGTGTGTCTTAAGTGCCAAGTTCGCCACAATTACTCACAAATCAACATGTAATAAGAGTTGGGTCTTACACTAGAGTGACCTGTAACGTTTTCAATATATATGCATGTTGAGTTGGGCTTATTCTCTATTCTCTATCACTGTACCTGTGCAGAGCTGTGAAGCTCACCAGACGCTCCAGGTGGGACTGGGTGTGGAGGTCTCTCTTCCGTACGGAGTGCAGCTGGAGGCCGGACACTGGCAGCACATCATAATCTGACAGGATGGAGTTCAGAGTATCTGGAAGACAAGAGGCCACAGCGGTGAAACACAACCAAGCAGAAGCTGCTTTTGTTGATGTGCAAACAGCGGAGTGCTGCGGTCGAACAATCTCCAGCTGACGATGTGGTTTTATTTAGCAGCTAACCAGAACTCGATGTTCTTAACATTTTATAACACTTAATCCAAATATCAGCGTTGTTAACCACAGTGAATAAACATAAATAGCATTTAGCTACAGCACTGCTCGTTAACGCCCTTTAATTTAAAGACAGCATTAATATTAAAGCTAACGTTAGCTTGAGTTAGCTTGCTAGGCTACTCACCGAACTCCGGGGTTTCTTCCTGCTTCTCCTCCGGACTAACTCTTGATTTAACTGCACCGTTGACCCAACAAGGAGCGAGAAATGCGATTAAAAGTAAGCTCCTCATCTTTAGGAAGGTTAAAACAGCTATGCCAGATCTGTCATTGTCACAAGATAGTCGGTTATTCTTGGACAGCTAGCGTTAGCTGAGCAACCCGGAAGTGCGCCGAGTGGAAAACATCCGCTATTAACATGCGGGAAGAGGGTACACACCCAGCTCTACACACAGGTAGTTCATTAATGGTGGAAACAGTGCTTAGATCCTTTATTTAAGGGAAATGCCACAATTTAAAGAGACTATATCACAGGTAAAAGTCTTGTCTTTAAAAGTATAAATGTCCATTGAGAGGAAATACCCTTTTAAGAGGTTCATATATAGTTTATTAGAGGGATAATCCAGATTATTCAGCAATACTGCATTAAAATACTCCAATACAAGTATAAATCCTGCATGAAAGAAGTATTTAAAGTAAAGGCAGGTACGTATTATCAGCTAAATGTACGTACAGTATCATAAATATGAGTAATCATTATGTGGGAGGTTATAATACTGGATTATTGTTTCCAAAACATTAATATCAAAGATGTGTTCATGTTGTAAAAGGTGGAAGTTAAGTTTATCAGTACCTTATGTATTTGTGGGCAGTTTAATATGTTACAACCTGTCATGTTTTTTGTTTTGTTTTGTTGTTTTTTTTACATAAAAATTTAATTTGTAAAGTAACTAGATGATAAATTAAAGTATAATACTTTTCTCTGAAATGTAGTAAACGTATAAAGTAGCATAAAATCTATATACTTAAATAACCTCAAAATTGTATAGTATGTAAATGAAAGTACTTCCCACTACTGCCATGGTTTAATTAACTAATTAAAACTTTTGTATGGATAATTAACTGCATAAAGTTTATTTCTATGCCTCAGTGGCCCCATGGTTTTTATCTAAAATAACAAAATAAAAGTACTTCCAACACTGACATATGATTTCATTATAGCCATTTTTTCCCTTTATTTTAAATTTACAGTTCAGTTCAGGGAAAGAGTAGTAAATTCAGTAAAATGTTACATTTATCCACAGAAAACCCCTAAAATCTTATTACAAAAGACTTTAGCAGAATATTGATGAAATAAAATAAATTGATTCCCCCTAAATTAAATAAATTGTATCTCATTTAAGGTTGTCAAATCTATTCAACTATCAAGTCTAATATTACACAAAGAGATACAATGAATACACCAACATCCAAGTACATTATTAAGCAAATAAACAGAAAGACCAACATGGACTTGGTTTATAAAATGTTTTATTCATGTTAACATAGCGGATACATAGGGATTCAAACAGTTCCACAAGGCTTTTGGGGACTACAATTGAATGAATAGCAAAACAATAGTGGTCCAAATCTCTAATGACAATCACTGGACAGACTAACAAATCATCCTCTTGTAGGATGTGTACAAACCTGCATTGAAAATTACTAAACTTGACACCTGGACTTCTGTGTGTTACAGCATTTGTTCCCATTCCAGTGTAATATCTCAAGAGACATGCATGACAGAATCATTTTCTTCCCATTTAAAAACAAACAAAAAAAAAAAAGAGGTCCCTGCATTTGGTCAGACAAGTCCCACCACCCCCTCCCAACCCCCACAAAACAGGCATGCTTCAGTGAAAGAGTGGCATCATAACCAGGGCAGAAAGTGAGGATTTAACCAATTGGCACTACTTGGCTGAATTATAGTATTTGTTGCCAGCATGTAAAGTGCACTAGCTTTCCCTGCAGTATGAAAAATTGAATCTGTTTGAAGTTTGACTTCAGCTGCTGTAACCGTACCAAGTAACTGTAGAGACAGACACTAAAAGAGAAAATGAATGGGGAAATCTATTTATTTATTTTAAATCCAACACTTCTTATCAGAAAAAAAAATATCTAAACGTTCCCAATTGATGGGATTTTAGGCTTCCAGTTGTTCAACAATGGGACTTAACTTTTTCTGCCTCTACATTGAGCTAGGAGTCTGATATCATGTCAAGCTATCAATCACTTCTCTATAGCTGAAACTGCACAAATGGGAAGGCCAGGACGAACACAAATCAAAAGGAATGGAGGGTTTTTCTTTTCACTAGTTGTCCCAATCTACATTGTGAAAAGCATAATTATTTTATTTTTTTTCTCATTTCCTTACGCGACTCTTTTCAGCAATCAGTTTCATTGGGAGAATGTTTGAGTGGAGCAATAAGGAATGAAAGGTGTGTAAAAAGTTTTTTTTTCCTTTTGTTGTTTTTGGAGATGACCCAACATTGAGGGCTTGATTTTTTTTGTTTTTTTGTTTTAGTTCTCATTCTCGCCGCCCTCTCCTGCTTCTCCACCATCGCCCTCTTCAGCAGCGTTGTCTGATGTCCATAACTGAGGAAAGAAACAGATATTTGTTTAGCACACAGAGAAATACAGTCACTATTATCCATACTCTTTCTAAAATCTGATGCTTAGAGTTAAATAGTTTCTCCCTTTTCTTCATTGTAGCTGTCAGGGGGGCATAACTGAGATGATGTTTCATAAAGATAGCAAGGGTTTTGGTTGAACCATTTAACACCCAGAGTCTTGTTCCATCTTGGCTAAAACTTTTATATATTTATATCATAAATTCTGACCAGTTGTACCACATATAGCACTCGGCATTCAGGCCATACAGACTAGTATTTTTTACTTCTATGGAGCAGATTGTCCTTTTTGCTAAATCATTTCCAATCATTGTAATTTTCCACTGAATGACTCCAGCCAAAGTCCAGAGATAATTCATGTAAACGAAAGAAAACAATAAACTGTTTAAGTTGGACTGTTAAAGTAACAATTATGACAACAGAGCAATTTGGTGTTTCAGTCTTATTAACTGCAATTTTTGAGATTTTCTAAAACTGTGCTTTTGCATTGAAATGACCATATTAGGCTTTGATTAACACGCCGAAGACATCTGAAGTGCTGCAAATACTAAGCCTATTTTTAAATAAATCCTGCCTACAAAGAAGTTCAGTTCCTTGACTGTAAATGAATACTGAGGCAACTCAGTATACTTCACTTTCTGTCTTCAGCTGTCCTATCAAATAAAGGCAATAAAAAGCCCCCCAAAAAAACCTTGAAAAAAAACAAACTCAGTATACTTCAAACTAAGTGCTGGTCAGATCATCGAACAGGATCTGAAACCCCCTTTCTTACAGAGGAAAAGACAGGAAGGAGTGACTTTCTAAAATTGGCCGTCTGACAATCACGACAACTTCCCAACTGGCAAGGTGTTTGAAGATGCAAGCTTCTCTTGTTCTTCATACGGTTACTTTAATCACTTTTTTAAAATCACTTTTTTAATACTTTAACCCTATTTTTATGTCCAAAACATCCTGTGTGTATACAATAGGACTGGGTAATAATTCAATTGCTTCTTCTACTGACTTTAAATGGAAGCAGTTTTCCACGCAGCATCCACTGCCTCCTCAACTAACGGGTCTGCACATGCGCAGTTGCAATGATGCAGCCACTAGAGTCCACCACAGTCAGTTCCTTCTCTGCATCAAATTCTACAGGCTTGAGCAAAATGTCTTCTAATAACCTTATGGGATTTCGAAGTACATGACTAATCCAGGTTTTTTTATTTCTGTAAGAGCCCTAATGAATGCCTCTGAGGAGAGAGGAGAAATGTGAGCCATTATCACATTAGTATGGATTATCACATCCCACCCCTTATTATAACAGCAGGCTTTTGGCCTTGCCTTCAAGTGTGGCTATTTCAACACTCAACACAGATCTTTTTTGTGTCCTATAAGAACCCAACACTCACTGTCAGGTTGTCTCTGAGGAGCTGCATGATGAGAGTGCTGTCTTTGTAAGACTCCTCATTTAGCTGGTCAAGCTCTGCAATGGCATCATCGAATGCCTGTAAGCAAAAAAAAAAAAAAAAAAAAAGGAAAATGTTAACACTTAGTAACATAGTACAACTGGCGGCACGGGAAAGTGAGAAAGAAAGTCTGCTGACCTTTTTAGCCAATTCGCAGGCTTTTTCTGGGGAGTTCTTGATCTCATAGAAGAAGACGGAGAAGTTAAGCGCCAAGCCCAAGCGGATGGGATGTGTGGAGTCCATCTTTTCATTGCTGATGTCAGACGCTTCCTGGTATGCTTGCTGCGAGCTTTCAACGGTCTCTGGAGACAGGAAGGAATGAACCAGAATATAGTAAATTTATTTCTATGTAAAGGTTGAGCTACAAGTCTACTTGCAACAATGTAATTTGTGAAGTTTAATTTCACCTAAATCCGCCCGAGCATGGCATCTTAGATAATAATAGTTTTAAAATTATACATTTCTAGTCAAAGCTACAAAAAGAAAACATTTTGACTGACTGGAACAAACATAAAGCATAAGTCGACCATACCATATAGTTCGAAGTGTAAAAACAACAAATCTGTGGTTTTATCCAGCAGAGATAGTTGGATTATGTTACCTTTGGACAGACCCAGGGACGCTAAAGCAGTTTCCAGACTTTGTGCTAAGCTAATCAGTGTCTGGCTTAAGCATATTTATTGTACAAGCATGTGACTAGTCGCAATCTTCTCATCCAACTATTGGCAAAAAACCCAGTAAACAAATTTCCCAAAATGTCAACCAATTCATTTAAAGTGTAAGGAAATTACTAAACTTTTCCCCTGAAAATGAAATAATGGATTTTTTTTTTCTTGTGAAGGAACCAACGGGTTTGGGGGTGAGAGCTTCTCTTTTTACAACATTTGTTGACAATAAGAAAAGTACAGACCTTTAACAGTTTATTTTGACATCTTATGAACAATTTAAGATGTTTCATCTAGCTTTGAATCTATTTAAGGGACATTTAAGTGGAAGTGTGGAAATACTGGGAATCCACGTGGCAGAATGCCTCACAGTCAACAGGCAGTGGTGATTTCATGTTCAGTTTTTCAGAAGCTGTTAGCTTCCTTAACATGTCTTTTGGGAACTAGAGCATTATAGACATTAACTGTAACAATGAACTCTTGAATAACAACTCATAACCAATATTAGTATTAGGAGGCACGCCCAGGTAACTGATCAGACAGCAGGATAATTTCTGTATCAGCACACCAATTACCTTTAGTTAAGTGGATCAATCTGGAATACACAATGCTAATACGAGAGCAGTGATTCAAGGTAGGGATGAAATTCTGTCACTTTATTCTTACTTGTAGGAAAGCTAGAGGCCCTCTTAATTAGTTTCCTCCCACTCCTGTTTTACCATCCTATGAGATGGGGCCCTGTGGTCACACGCCTGTGAGGCATTGCCCTACTTGATGTCATTTCCAGCTCTTAGCTCCAAGACAAAATCTGACACATTCCTATTTGGAGTGTGAAGAGGCCCAGATTAAAAAACGACAGGGTGGGGCGGGGCGGGCTTAAAGACTCCCCACTACAAAGTAGTAGTAGTAGTAAGAAACAAAAAAAACATCACTGAACACTTAACAGTAAGACATACCTTTCTATATATAATAAATAAATGGAATACAATTGTAAACTCACTTGTTTTCTCATCTCCAGTTGCAACCTCGGCAAGGTATCTATAGTAGTCCCCCTTCATCTTTAGATAGAACACTGTGCTCTCGGGACTTGTGGAGTTTTTAATTAAATAATCATCCAGCAGTTTCTGTGAAGAGAGAAAAGGTCAGATTAATTCATTTAGATGCACTGAGTACATAATACACAATCAACCAAACAGAAGCCACACTGCCCACGAGCAAAATCTGAAAAATGATTTAACATCAAAATCCAATTAAACGGGCTTCATGCTACATTCACAGAATAGTCCAACTGTGCCAAATAAAAGGGGTGAGAACAGACACATCCATGTGGCATGGTACAACACTAGATATAGGTGGGGCTCAGTACAGCATTAGCTTACCATTGAGGCTTAGTATACCATTAGAGAGCACTACTCCCTTTTCTCTTCATAGCTGTGCAGCTCAATGATTAATGGGTACAGTTCTGCTCCATTAAGAATCAAGTGCATGTGCTCAGCCAGTACCATTTAGAGGAAACATTTCGCTCTGTGTCAGTTTCAGCTAAAGTTGCTCCAAAATTGTCTACAACCAGGCCAGGCCTCTAGTGTGTCCCCAACTGTCTTCTGCCCCAGATTCCACTCTTTCGAAAAGCGCTCTCCTCTTGTCAGCACTGTATAGCACAGTTTGGGGTCCTATTGCTGATTTTAACAGACATGGTAGCCTTTTTTTTATTCCTTACTGAAACATACTCGCAAATGTTCCACTAGCAAAGTCGAAGTTAAGACACAAGCGGCCGCCACAGAGCTCAAGAAGGACCATGCAGGCAGCATGTGAACGTATATTGGCTGGCAAGTTCAGGACCGCCCCGTCTCGAGTTTATATAATGCTGAAATAAGGTCAAAGGTAACAGCTACAAGAAAATGTTAGTAGTAAACTCATGTTCAATGATGAGTTAACTACTGCAACTGCATGTTTGTAAGTTTTACACTTACAAAATATATAGAACAGCGGAATTAATAATTTAAAACAACCTAGCTACTCTCTAAAAATTAGTTGCTTAAAACAGCAAGGGGATTTAAAAGCCCAGTTTGTAAGATTTAGAAGGATCTTTATGCAGAAATGGAATATAATATACACAACTGTTTTCATTAGTGTTATCACCTGAAAATAAGGACTGTTATGTATTTGTTATCTTAAAACGAGCCTTTTATGTCTACATACACCACTTCCATGGAAGCCACTATGTTTCCACAGTAGCCCAGAACAAACAAACAAACACTGGCTGACTGTAGTTTCTCATTTCTGCTTGAAAGGGGAGGGTGAAGCGAGGGAACTGCAATCTGCAACTACACTGCTATTTGCCAGTTCTTTAAAACAATATAATAATATAATAATAGTAGTAAAAGAAGTGGTAATATAGCAAAAATATAAGACGCGTGTTGCAAATCACATCTTGTGATTACACTCTAGGTTAAGTCATCTGTCTTTAAATGGACATGAGAAGATTACCATGGCTAATCTGTGTCAGTGAAACTGTGGCTTATGCTCAAATTAACCGCTTTAGAGAGCAGATTAACCATTCACTCAACCCTAATGACAATCCTGACTGAGAGACAATACGGTGTTTAGAATAGATGGTGATAAACATCATCTTTGCTTTCAACCTAAAAAAAAAATAAATAAATGAAAAATAAAAAAAGCAGCTTTCCCTTCCAAATCCTGGGAGAAAGAAGCAACCCTTGTCTGAGCCAAACCCACCGCAGCAGCCACTCCCCAGTCATTTACTGACACAAAGATCGGCTCAGCCAAAACACGCGCATGTCTCCAAGTACTAAGCATTCTTCTTTCACTGCATGCTCTGCAAAATAGACAAGAGTAGCCTTGCTCTCAGTGCTTTCACACAAAGCTCTGATTTCAGTCACCAGTGCTCACAAGAAATCACAAACAGTGTTGCTGGATTAAAGCCTGACTGATTATGTGTGTAGGTAGGTAGGTATTTCTTAACTCAGCAAATCATAATCAGACACAATGATACTGAACAAGAAAAGCATGTGGCAGTCTATGACAACCGTGAGATGTGTCTGTGTCCCACTACTTTTAGATGGCAAGGTACAGTCTACATGTCATTTTCAGAAGAAGACTGAACAGGCTCAATCTTCTCAGCTGGCACCCTGTCTGGTCTACAAGCCCTACATTCACATCTTGTGTGGAAACTAGAAGCCAAACATCCCCAAGCCTCTGCTGCCTCCCAATTGAGACCAGCTTTCTGCTGAGATCCAAGTCCATCTGTGCAGTCTACTGTGCAGGAAATAAAGACAGAGGGGCACACACGCAGCTCACTTTTCTATTGCAGTCTCTGCGCTTCTGCCTTTGTGGGTGCACAAGTAACCTGTCTGCAGACAAGTTATGGCATGATGACCGACACACCCTCCTCCGCTGACAAACCCTCAGTCAACACTCACTAGCGGAGATACTGGAAGCTGAGTCACAGACGCACTAGTGCATATTCTCAGGAACACACAAAGCTGAAAGCTGGTTAAAAAACGAATGGCCACTGCAGCTTTGCAGTGCATTTTTAAAGACAGCAGCTCGGGGAAATTATCTCAATCTTACAGCTAAGCTTCCACCCAGATCTCCTCTAATCCATTATCAAGGCAGGCTAGAAATAATGTAAAGCACCAATCTGTGCTGTAGCATTAGATTAAACAAGAGGTGAAAGCTTTCCCCCCCCACCAGTGTAGCTAAGCCTTGAAATGTGGAGAGTAATGTCTGAGAATGCATTTAGTTCAACTATCAAGTAACATTTCAATGGGTGGCTCTACTCTGCAGTAGGGTGCCATTTTTTCTGATGATCTGTACAAACTAGGATTTAGGGAGTGTATGAGTCATTTATGCATGTAAATTCTTGCACTTGGCTACCCATATTAGGCTTCTATCTACCAGATGGGACAGCACGGACACAGAACATAGAGTATATAGCATAGCCTTCCTGTGTGTGTGTCCCGAGTTCCTTCTCCACCCATTCAGACACACCTTGCTGGTGTAGTCACTATGACCTTTCGTCAGTTCACGCCCTCACAGGGTTTCAAACCTATTGTTCTAAATCCAGATTCCCAAAAGGCAGGAACAGTGGGAGGACTACATAATACTTCCTTGTCCTCTCCAGCTTTAGAGGCCATATTTATGCAACAGAGGAGCTGACAGGAAACAAGGCGGATGCCATTTGAAACACTTAAATGTACTAAATAATCATGTGTCACTTTTTAAATTTTAATGTGTACAGATGTGTCATGAAGACTGGCAGCTGCAAAAGACTCAATGCATATATTCACCATTTAGTTGAGCAAATAAAGCGTCCTGCACCATTTTTTTTAAGTTTATCTCTAAATAGCTAGGCTACACTAGGCATTTCCCTTAATATGATACAACACCGACGAGCAAGGGAGGGGGAGTATTGATCAAATCACACTGCAGTTATAGCCATCATCGATTGAACTATGTTAAATTACAATGATCCATTGAAACAATAACGCTCAGCTTTGAGCATACTTTGTCAGGAGGGTGGCATCAATCTCACATAGAGAAAAACATGCAGACTTGAAAACAAAAAAAAAAAAATGTAAAAAATTTGACACCTTACCAAAACGTTGTTGCAGATTTCCTTCAGCTCCTTCTCCACCTTCTCCCGATACTCCTTTACCATCTGCTGCTTCTTCTCGCACCCTGCGTCGTTCTTCACTACGATACTGGACATCACCCTCCATGCGGACCGCCTCGCCCCAACCACGTTTTTGTAGGCGACGGACAGCAGGTTCCTCTCCTCGTTTGACAGCTCGCCTCCCATCTCTGTAACCCCCTTCATGCTCTCTGCCATGTCGTCGTAGCGCTCAGCCTGCTCCGCCAGCTTGGCCTTCTGAATAAGATCCCCTCTATCCATAGTTTATATATTTTTTGTGGACTGAGAAAGCAGAAATCCGGATGTATGTGACAGTCAAGGACTGTTATGTTGCTTGTAGCAAGGCGATGTTCTTCCCCCACAGTAACGTTAGAAGCTGCGGGGAAAAAAAAGGTTGATAAAATTAGTAGGCATCGATAAAAAAAAATAAAATAAATATAAATATATATAAATGCAAGTGGAAGGCAAAATAGCCCACCGATCATTACCGTGACATGAAAGAAAATGCTGGTATAAAATCTAGCGTTAGGTAACAGCTACCATTAAAACCCTTCGAATGGAAGAAAACCCGTACCCGGACACATCCACCCTTAATTGCAAAATTACGTTACCAGCCCACTTTCACCATCATTCACTTTGCTTGCGGTGTACAAGAATGAACCAGCTATGTCTTTCTAAACGGTTTCTAAGCTGAGATTGACTGCGAACATCGGAAGCGAAGATCTGCAGTCGTTTCGCACGGCAACCCGCCACAAAGCTGTCTGGAGGAGCTAGCCCGCAAGTTAGCAGAAGCTAGCTGGCGTTAGCAGCATCGGCCACTCCTTTCAGTAAAAAAAAAATGTCACGTTAGCGCTACTCCTACGAACCACAGTTTGTCACTTTAGCGAGCAACGCGCGGTCGTATATTTAATGGAAAACGAAAGGGATAAAATAATGAATAGTTGTTTCTGACCTACCGACGTCCAAATTTGCTCCTCAAATTGGTCCGATTTGAGAGGTTGGTCAGAAAGGCAGAGAACGGCGGTAGCAGCGAAAATACAACTGAGCTGGTAAAACGGGGCGGGTCACCTCGACGTCCACCCTCCAATCATAAATCGTAATCTCACTTGATTGATAGGTCCGTTTAGCGGAGTGAGCCAGTAGTTGTTTAGCGCGGGGGAAAGAGGCGGGCCTTCGGGGATAGTTTGACAGACCGGAACGCTGCAGCGGTTGGGGCCACGGGGTTTCCTCCAATTAGAGCAAGGGAAGAAGACGTCATCGCATCGCCATGGTGATGCTCATCCAATCGCTCTTTGCTTTCACACGCTGTAGGCACTGTAGGCGGGTGTGGCACTCATTCCCTTTATTATCTGTCCTAAGTTTTTATTCAAGGATTAAATGGTGACATTTTGTATTTGTTCTTATTGCCAACAAATCTAATTAAAAAAACAAAACCAACAATGAACTGATCCCTCTCAAACTACTGTCTGTGTAGGTAAAGCCTGATGTGTCTGTCTGTGCCATACTTCCATTGTTGTCCAAAAACTCTAAAAATACTGAGCATAACATATTAAGTATTTTCGTGACATTTGTGTACAGCACCATGATATGTAACACCACAGGCTCAATAACAATTTGCCTTTTTATCATTTTGCTTGTGGAAAAATGTGGTCCGTCTGCGTTTGTACATACTGTTGAAGATGGATTGCACACACAGGCACACACCCAGGGCCCCAAGTGGTCAAAGGGCCCCTGGGCCTGTGCCTGAGTGGAGCGGGGGTTGGGGGAAGCTCTCTTTCTGACAGGGAATCTTTTTACATGTCTGTTCCTATAGGGGCCCATTGTCTCATAATCAGTCCATGCTATTATGACACACCTTCCTTACCACTCAGTGCAACGCCTGAAAGCTTAACAACTTATAGGCGATCCCTGTTAAGCATATCCAGCCTGTCAGTACCTTCAGTCTTTTGTTTACGGTGTCTTATATTTGTCTGATTATAATCAGTAGTTTCACCACTTGTGTCCAGTAAAAACTGACTTCATTGGAAGTGTGTTTATCTCATTAGCCGTGCATCTATAGGCATAATGAGGAGGAAGAGATAAGATGTTCATTTTATACTATTTTGAATTTAGGACACCTTTGGTAATTACCTGCTTGGTTGCTAGGGAGAAAAGCCCCTCCCTGGATCCTCCCACCCCCTGTGCATTGTGTATAGGTTTACTATGTTGGAATATGTTGTCCTTATGCACCAAAAGACATGATCTTGCTTGTATTTTGAGCTGTTATCTCCTCTTTTTAGTCCCCGCTGTAGTTTAATTGTCAACAGGGTGCATGAAATTTACAAAGAGTGGGCTGTTCTTAGTCCACACCTAGTGGATTGGCTCCAATGCGGTATTAGCAATCCTTTTATTTTAAGTAAGGCTGTCATTTTGGTTCATTAAACCACCTTCACGTGTAGCATATCTTACAGGGAGAAATAAACATATGAACACTCTCCTGACTATTGGTCTATGCTGTCCAACTCTGTGTAGGGGATAAAAATGGCCTCATCCTGGGTAGGATCAGTTTCAACTCAGGAATGTCTCTCCCACCCCCCGGACACCTGAAATTCTACCTGAAACCACTTGGCAATAGGTGAGCAGACAAGGACTCGCTCACACATGATGGTATGCACGAGCTTCTGTATTTTTCTTATTGTCAGCAAAATCTCTAAATCTGTTGATCCGTCTCCCAGGACTTTCCAACTTCCCCAACCCTGTTCAACATCTACTCGACAATGTGTCACTCATAGCAACTCTGTGGCTCACCGGTGCGTTTTTAATAGATTTCTGGACAATGGAGCGCTGTTTCAGGAGGAAAAAGGCCTACACAGATAAATGCTTGTTAGTAGGATCAATCCATTGTTGGTTTTGGTTCTTGTCAAGGGCGTTTTGATGGGGAAATACAGAATATCACCAGACGTAAGGATACATGCATTAAACAAAGGCCTATATATACATTATATGTCAGTGTATCTGCTCTCAAACAGCGGTTTTATGGTACTTCTCTCTAGTAACTGACTCATTCAGTGCACAGCTTCCAGTGGCTCAAACTTGGAAAATATTAAGTGGCAGTTTCTATTCAGATCTTGTTTGCCATCAGTCCCCCTTCTGCTTGTAAGCCTTCTCTTACACAATCCAAGCATTCTCAGTCTGACCTTTGTGCTCGCTCCATCCCCGCCTTGCTTTACCTCAGAGGAAGGCAGAGTGACAAGGCGCTGAGGTCATGAAAAGGCGTGGGCTTACGTAACAAGTACCTCTGTTTGGTCTCAGCTGAAACCTGTCTACCTGAGAACAGCTCTCATGTCAGCTCCTCTGATCCATATGATGACTGAATGTGATTATGTGACATACCGATAGTGTAAGTGGATAGAAAATTGTAAAACATGTTTCAAACTAATTGTGTGTGACTGGGGTTGACATACAGTACAAACAATAAAATACAGCCTTCGCTTTCCTCCTAAACTGTTGAATCACAGTCTTTTGTTTCTCTCAGATTCTGTGTGCTTAGTCATATTTCCTCATGGTAACCACAGATGCATTTTTTTTTACCATTCCTGACAGATAACAGTCGAGCCAATGGGAACTTCAATAACAGCCTCAGCTGGAAGAGGCCAGGACAGACGGACAGAAAGACAGACAGGATTAAATCTTTATAAAACATGTAAACACTTTCTTTAAGCGCCTTTCTTTGACAATCTTCTTTGTGTAAATGGCTGGATTGCGTTGCTACCAGTGCTACAATAGTCACTCCCAGTCTACATAATTGTGAAAGAGAAAGTCACGAAAAAGCTGTCGTGGTATTTAGTCATTTATTTTTTTATGTCCTTTCCTCTTTACGGTTGACTGCAGGCCTCCTCTCCCACTGACTCGCTGATGATGAAGCCAGCTGTCAGAGACGAGTCACAAGTGATTTAAGGAAATATTCAAACTGAATCACAGTGCAATGTGTCACTTTGACAGTTCATCATTTTATATAGAGTTTAACTTCTTAATCATTAATGTGACATGGTGTATTTGGTGCTTAACTGGATAATTTTGTAAAAAAGAGGAACTATTGATGCACATATACAAATCATGGTAGTATAAACTTTATAAGTAGTAGTATAAACTTTAAGTAGTAATATAAACTCTACCGCTCACACAGTTTTTTATTATTTTAAAAGAGAAAGTTTGACTGGGAAAATATGTTCTTCCTATTTTCATTAATAAAAAATGATTAAAATGAATTAAAAAAAAAACACAGATTGCATTTTCAGATGGTCCCTTAAGGTATTTGGCACTCGTTTAAGTTCAGATGTTTTTGTTGAGCTGCACCACAAACACACAGAACAGAGCCTGAATAAACAGTTCAGACCTGCCTGCCAGATGTGAAAGTGCCCCTAATTGAAGAGTCTAGGCGAGCCATAGAGTTGGCAGCACAATTTCCTTTGTGAATTAATTAAATCTATGAAATTTTAATTAGTGATTCAAAATGGGCATGACAGGGTTCTCCAGAATCTGTAACCACCTCCAAAAAGCATCTATCTAAGTCTAATGTAGCACGTATATTAATAATAATGTTACATTAAATGCTCATATAGAGTTTTTACCATAATTTTGCTCCAAATGGCGGGGTTGTGAATTAATGAAATGGACTTTAAATTCACGGTTTACTCTTTTATTTATTGTGTTACGTGTTTCATAGCGAACACTGGCACAACCGCTACTGTTGGGACAAGCCATGCAAATGCTCATCACCACCTGACCGTGTGCTGTATCAACACTGATAACATACCAGTGCACGAAGACCCTCTTTTAGTGCCAGAAGTGCAGGTCAGGATACATTACGACAGCTACCATTGCTCTTGACAGGAAAGAACTTGAAGGTTCACATCCTGCTTATGGCCAAAACCTAACCGCACGACAAGCCTTTTCTTGCCTTTACAGAGTCAGGGGAATCTACAGTAAAAGACAAGCTGAGGTATAGTTTTCTTTCATGTTTTAAAAGTCTGCATCAAAGGTAAAATATATGTAATAGGAGAAGAAGATTTTGTTTTGATAGATGTTTAGATATTACAATGAATAGTCTCTCCTCTCATAGTGGTGTATATATATGAATCTTTCCAGTTCCAGTATCTTCAGTGAACAATGCATTCTGACTTTCCAACACAACCAAGTCCTCTCCCTCAACTTTAAAGTCTATATTTGAATCACCACCTTACACTCCATAGGCTAAGAACTAAGACATCTATTTCCGTCATTAGACGTGTCATTCTCAGATGAAGTCTCTTGTCCACAGTAGGCCAGATGGCTATAAATACCGGTGGTTAATGGGTTGGGAAATCCCATGGCTTCAGCTCTAGTTTTGAGCTGCTTGTGCGAATATTAGCCTGCAGCATGGCGGCTTCTATAGCTCAGGTTCACATTTCCTGTCATTTCATCTGATATGGGGCCAAAATATTAGGTTTGAAAAAATGCTGTAGTGGAAGAAATAGAAATGTTTTGTCATTGTAGAGTTCTGTACAGACCTAAAACTGAGGCTCACACCCAACCCATGACTTTATACATGACTTTTAGACTTGACTACAACCAAATAAGACCCCAAACCCACCTGAAACCTTTGTTGGGAGCATCTTGGTTCACAATGAATGTGTTAAGTATATCACCATTAGTAGCATATTAATCAATCAGACTTTACTTGTATAGCACTTTTCATACAAGCAAAATGTAACACAAAGTGCTTCACACATTAAAACAAGCCAAAAAAGCCAAGTCTGGCAAAAAGCTATTTAAAGATATTTATATTTAAAAATGTCAACACTCTGTGCTGCCCTCAGGTCCTCGGGAAGTCTGTTCAGAGATGAGGACCGTAGTGATTAAAGGATGCCTCATCATGGGTCTTTGTTCTAAGGGATAATTAAAAGGCCCCTACCTGAAGACCTGAGGGTTCGAGAGGGTTCATAGCACATATCACATTAAGTATACCCAATGAACATTTAAGGCCATCCCATATTTCTTGAGTTTGCACGTTCACACCATGTTCGTTTGGTTTCCTCCGACTATCAGAACCATATGTACAGGGTTAATGCTTCCATACACGTAATTCTTCTATTATAAGAACCAGGGGGGGAGGATGAAGCCAAGCTCATCGACACGTGCCCCCACCTGGGTTCATATAGTCACTCCAGCTACATGCCCCCATTTATCCCAATGCAATCGAACTACCTTCTTCTCTCTCAGGGATCGGAGCTAATCTATATTATTAGAAATTATATCGATAATTAAATGACAGCTGGTAATTTATTGAGCCATAATAATAATCAGTTAGTCAGCAGAACTGCTTTCTGACAGTATTGGATTTCTGTATATTATATGTTTTTACATCAGTATTTAATGTGGCTTTATTTAAGTCCTATGAAGAGACAAGAACTGTTATTTCTACCTGGTTATATTTCTATTCTATATATATTGTGTTAGATATTGTAATATAAGTATTATTTCTATTCTTTAACATGTGTGAGTAGAACAACTGTAACAAACAAATCAATAAAGTATTTCTGATTCTGATTATTATAGTAGATTTGTTGATATTCTCCATAGTGATAGTGTACAGAAGAACTGTAAAGCTTGAGGCTACTTTTAAGACACAGATGAACATTGGAGACTTCCTGAACTGTTGGTGTTGTAAATTTCAGCACTGTCAAAATGCACTTCACATCTTCTAGTTAATTAGTTAATGAGTTATTGCCCTGAAAAAATCTAAATAAATATCATATATTTTAGGTTTTCCAAGCCTGCCACATACGGAACTGCACATATTGCTGTACTGAGATGGAAAAGAGAAAGGAGCATTAATGGCTTGGACAGGTTGTCTTTGATTAAAAAGACATATTGCCTCATTAACGGCAAATAAACATTGATTTTAGAGATAGGTTAAATTAGACAGACCATCCACTCAAGAATATAATCAAAATGGCATTCATTTTGTGCACACACACACACACACACTGCTTCAATACTTTCTCTAACTTTGCCTCAGAAGGACTGTCGATGTGCTTCTGGACATTTTATCTGAATATTGAATGTGTGTGTGTGTGTGGAGCTGCTGATGGTAAGAGGTTGAATAATAGATGAGAGATGAAACTATTTTCTAAACCTCATCATGCTCTTTTTCTGTGTAAAGAATCATTGACTTTCTCTTTAATAATCTGGTTTGTAACAATAATTTTCTCAGTTCGTCCTGTAATGCAGAAGCTGATTAGAATATGAAATGCGGATGAATACAGTGACAAATGTAGGTGTGATTGCTTGTAATTCTGAGTATTATAAACCTCATTGTGTTTATTTAGTGGGCTGTGGCTGTTAAATGACTGACTGTAAGAGGAGAAGGTGGTCTCCGCTCCACACTGTGCAATGGTGGGAGGTCGTCTCATGGCAATTATGCCTCTGTGCTCCAGTTCACAGCCCATCTCTCGGCTCTAATTAGAGGTAATTAAAACACTTTCTTTCACTCTCCCTTACACTGCCTCACACACAGACACATACATACACAGATGCAACCACACACCGGGATTTCAAAAGGGTCTAAGCTCTAATTAAATCCAACAGAGAATGTCAGTGAATTATCAAGTAGGATTTAGACTCTCCTCCTGCATTTCAGTGATGTCAGTGTGATTTTTCCTCATAGCTTGTGTAGTGACGCTGACATGCTGCGCTGCCTTTCTACCTATCTGTCCTCACACTGGAAATCAGCCGCACTGCTCTTTAAACAGAGGTTGTGTGCTGCATCAACTGCTGTGTGTGTGTGTGTGTGTGAGTGTGTGTGTGTGTGTGTGTGTGTGTGTGTGTGTGTGTGTGTGTGTGTGTGTGTGTGTGTGTGTGTGTGTGTGTGTGTGTGCATTAGATAGCTTGCTATGCAGGTTGCATTCACTCTTTAATTCTTGGACTGCACACATGAATAATACATGAGCTGTGCACACGGATTTACAGCACCAAAGCGTATATATATGTGGATGTGGGCTCATATGTTCTTTCTCTCACAGAGGACATGCTTATTGCATACATCACTGTGGATAGCATGACCTTCATCAAAGTCAGCTGAATTAGCCTCCTTCTATTTTAATAAAAGATTTACCGTTTAGTTTGAGTGGCATCTTGCAATCTTGTAAGAAATCGTATGCAGTTTATATTGCGGCACAGATGAGTAATCATTCTTTGATGCCCAAAGGCTAGGGAGGACCTTCATATGATTCAGTAGTGAATGTCATCCAGACATCCAGGAAGACATGGCGCAAACATGACTTCAGCATAAAACCCACACATTTCTATTCCCAGTTAACGTAAACACCAGTGAACCCTGCAGCTTATATTTAGATCTATAGAGGAGTTATGGGACAGTGGCGACGGTTTATCACAACGGTTGCTTATTGACAAACGGAAGGAAGTCTTCTGTGCATTGACACATGCTATCCACACTGATTGACATACTGAAGTTATTTATTTGAGAAAAAGATGAGCACATCCAAAAGTTGAAAATATGAATGATGGGTTTGTGCCAAACTGATGGGCTCCCAGAACATTGGGGCGTGAATATAACACCAAAAATTAGCATAGAAAATAGGCTTTTAGTCTGTACATTCTTCTGTGTATATAATAATCACTGTTCAAGCAGCGACATGCAGTTTTTATAAAT